GGATTTAGGGTTGAGAGGGGGATTGTTGTGCGCTTGTACAAGCAGAATATCTAACAGCTGCCCGCAAACCTGAAGGAGTAACGGTAAACCCTGATTAAACGTAGGAAGCAGGCGCTCCTCTAGATTGCTGGGCAAATGGAGGGAGGCAGTGCCCAACCTCAAAAAATGGCTGGTTTAGCAAAAATCCGTCCAGGCTCGGCCTGTTTTTGCGGCTTTGCATTTAATTGATGTCTTTTGTTGAACATTACTCACCAGAGATCCTTGCATTTCTCCGAGCCAGCTTTTGACCCTGTATTAAATTAGGCAACGATTGCCCATCCCCCAGGTTTCAGTCAGAAGTTGACATATGAAGTTTGCTTTTGACAGAACTCACAACAAAGTCTCGCAACATCGCCCATAAGCTCCCCGAACCTGACAGCAAGCCCAGAAACTGATCTGTGCAGAGTTGTTTTCCTTGGCCTGGGATTAAGGTGACTAGAGAAATATTAAGCAACTCCAGCACAAACAGTTGAATTCAGATACAACAACAAGCCTTAGGAGTCGCATATGGGTTTGAAGGCATGTACTACTGCATATCATAGCATGGTGTAATGCCACAGATGTTCCCAGAATACGAATGACAACTGCTGGATCCAGGGTTTGACTTCATATCCATTGGCTTGCGGAAATAGATTTCTCATGGTGGGCTACTTTCTTGGGTTAATGGCTTGAATGTTAGGATTTTACTTTGTATGGGGTTTGGTGTTGTTTTTGTGAACACCTGCTTGAGTGGAACTAGTGACCACAATCCAACAGCATCTATGTAGGTCCTATTTGACGGTACTTGGGCTCCGTGAAGTGTGTTTGAGGAACTTTAGCCAAGGCTGTGGAATTTGGGGTTGTAGGGCTGGGGCTTCATGTTCAGGTCTCTATCCCAAGGGCTTTTTTAGGTGTCGGTGTGTGGAGACTCTCAGAACAAGGAGTCCACAAACTGTAGACCACCGAACTTTGTAGTCCTTCCTCGTTCCAAGCCCAAACCCCTTTACCCGAAGCAGTAAACCCTGTACCAGAAAAGCCCGCAACGCTTCACCCTACACACCTCAACCCTAAATTCCACCCCGAAAGCTGCAGGAAGCCCGCTTGAATCGGCTGATGGAGGAGAATGAAAAGCTGAAGGCCCGCCAGTGTTTCTTGTCTTTTAGGGAGGCGTCCAGGGGGGGGGGGTGTTGTGCGGGATTCATGCTTATCAAGGGAAGCGACTGCTATACGGGGCCCAGGCGGCGAACATGGCGCTGCGTGTGCTATGCAATCAAGTTTCAAGGTTCTCAAGTTGGGAGGGCTTTCTGTAGCAATGCAGAAGCTTGAATGATTATCAGTGTCATTCCAGTTGATCCTTTTTGACTGTGTAAGTGTATAACGTACTCTACTTTACTGGGCCCCAACATTTCGAGGAAGCCCCAACATCTCGAGGACTCCCAAGCATCAGCACGGAAGGCCTTAGGCCACAGAAGCTCCATGTGGGCACGGCTTGTAGCTGGATGCTATAGGGCTTGTATGGTAGTATGAAACATTCACTGGGCCCAATCCCTATGCCCCAACTCCTTGCGCCCTAAACCCTAGGAAAGGCATAGGAGTATCGGGACACTATGCAAAAAGTCCTCCATAAGCGGACCCTCCCTCCCAGCAACGTCCGTGACCCGATTTTGGAGAGCCTTCAGCTGAAGAGAATGGATTAAATCATCAGATGGAGAACCCACAACATGCTTTCAGTTGAGACTTTCAAAGTTAGAGGTGATTCCCAGTAGTTTACGAAGAGTCTTGTCAACATCATCAGGCATGACAGATGTCAACGGCTCGGGGAATATGGGCACTTGACGCCCTTGGAGGCTGTTGAAGAAATCCTACCCCGTGCATCAAATATCCCCTCTGGCCCCAAGCACTAAAGCTTGAAACGCACACCCCCCCCTATATAACCCACTATACTAGTTTCCATTTTATTTTCCATTATCCCAGTATAACCCCTAGATAACCACCAAAATACTTTAAGATTCCCTCTGGGTACCGCAGGCAGACATGTCGGTCGGTCCCTTTATGTTGGTCATTCTGGCCTCTCCATGTCGGCCGGCCCTTTACATGCACACCCAAACCCTAAACCCTAAACCATGAATCCCTGAGCAACTTTAAAACCAAAATCGAACGGGAGGCCACAGTCAAAGATTCGAATCTCCAGGACGTTGGGCAAAGATATTTTAGGCTTTCGGTTTTGGGATGTGGGGTGTTGGGCTTTAAAGACTTTCCAGGCATAAGAGTACCCAGGTGCCACGCAGTCAGCATAAAGGGATTCTTGTAGAATAAGTTGGGCTCATCCTTTGAAGCTCCCCAAGGAAAATTGGACTTCTAGGGTTCAAGCTTCAGCTTACTGGTAGGTAGGAGGGAATGAGGAACGTAGGAACGTCATATAAGGATTATGTACGGACTGCTAAGGGATCCGGTCCCAATTCCCTACTATCAGTAAGTTGGCGTCTTCGAGCTTTTGGGTTCAAGGTTGAAGGTGTCAAGGGGAGAGTCTTCCGGCTATCCCGGCCACAGAGGCGCCCACGGGTTCCAAGGCTTTTTCCAGAAGCTGGGGTCCTCCTCATATACCTGCCTTATACTATAGTCCTTATCATCAGGAAGGATCCCTAAAAGGTACCACTAATATTTGGAACTACCCAAGTAGCAGGGAATGCCGCGTGTCCTGTCCCAGTAGGATTGAAAAATATCAGAGTGCACAATCTAAATCCGAGAGCCCACCATCCAAAATCCCAAGCCCCAAGGCCCTAGATCCGTGTGTCGAAGCTGAGAGCTTAGCTTCTGACGGAGGAGCGTGATCGCGTCACCTCCGACCGCAAGGAAGTGGATCGATTGACAGGGGAGGCGTGTCTCAATGCTTGGAGTTCAGAGTACTTAGGCTGCTGGGTATTGGATGTAGCTTCAGGATTTGAGTTGGGTTTTTTCTGGCGTAGGGTTTAGGGTTCAATTCGGGCTGAGGTTCAGGTTTAGGGTTTAGGGTCTAGGATGGTGGAGTGATGGAAGATCAGGGACTGGATGGAATCTACATACGATCTTGCCATTCTCGATTTCTGAGAGATATCGAGGCTGACGCTGCTGGTCTAATCCGTTCCCCTAATAATGACCCCCCGCCCTTTAACAGTAAGAATTCCCAATATACTACAACCATATACTAGAAGGAGTACTTAATATTTGTTATAAGGGGAAGAGATGGCTTGCCTTTGGGGGCAGCTAACAGGTACCGTGGGATTGATTTTGCGTTTGCCAAGAATGGCGAGGATAAGGACGGACCTGGGTAAGCTCCACCTGTACTCCTGCTTTGTCAAAATAAGAGCTAACTCGCACGCTTGTGTAGGGTAGGATCCACAGGGTCTCAGGTGTAGGGGTTTCAGAGTGGTAATTGTATAGTAACAATACGAGTTGCATTACTAGTAGACTGTCAGGTGTATGTGTTGGTTACCCTCGACCCTAAACCCTTAGTGTTGGGGGCTTACGCAGGTGCGCAAGCTTGAACGCCAACGCGGCGAGCTCGTCTCATGCTCAAGAGCTGGGAAGGTTTATGGCAGAGTATAGTATGGGGTCCCCGAGTGTCATCCGAATTCATTTCCTGTTTTGAGCAGCCTTAACGCAAACTCTGAGATACATAAGGGATTACAAGGGGATCATGGTTACTCTCAAAAACTTTAGCATTAGGAGTTTTTCAAGGTTGTCCATGAAAAGACTCCTGAATGGGAACCTCATTGTAAGTCCCACGTGCCCGGGCTAGAGAAAGCTCCAGATGTAGAGTTGATTTTTTGGGAATCGAGGGTTTAGGGTGTAGGAGGGTCTGCTTCGGTGGTGTCGGAGGGAGCAGCGAAGATTATGGGGGACTATTTGGAGAACTCCCATATGATACCACGCATCTGGCGCAAGATAATCGGTAGCAGACAGATCGGCAGTAGTCCTGATCAAAGGAAACGCAAGCATGTTCATCCTTACGACGTACTTATTTCATGTCGAAAGAATTCCCATTCAGGGGTCTGCCTAGCCACCCCCATTTCCAAACCCTAATCCCTGAACAACAGTGCTGCCTTTGGCTAAAAGCTGATGGCTCAGAAATATTGCTCACGTCAACAGTCCCTAGAGCTGACACACACTGCAGAAATTCAGCCACAGGAGTTCTTCTTAAGATGATGGACCACGAGCCACCCAAATAACGTAGGCTTATCAGAAGCCCGAATAGGGTCATCAAGACTGATGCGAAACTCCAACATTCTTGCATGACTGTCCAGCTTTGAGCCTGAGCCTATTGGGCTAAGGGGTTTGGGCTGTGGGGTTTGACGCTTGCGGTGTTGGGGTGTTTTGGGGGCTTGGGGTGTAGAGTACCGCAATTGGCCTCTTTGCTCACATTGGCGATCTGGGCCAAGCCAAGCCACAGCATGGAGGAGCACCCAAAGCTTTCCCCAGCTGGCTTCCTCAAAAAGCGATTGCACAGATTCCTGACCAGCTACTGGTTCAGCGTATTCCTATTGTGCGTGATCTTGATCGACTCTTGGTGCATCTGCTTCGATGTGGATAGTCGGGCCGCTGAGGTGGAAGCTCCCATGATAGTACCTGTCATCACCGACCTGTGCATATTGGTCTACACCGTAGATTTGTGCACCCTTGTTGTTGCTACCGGCTGGGCTTCCCTGATTGAGTGGGGAAGGGGTGTGGACCTGTTTGCTGTGCTATGTGCTTGGGCAGAGTTCCTAGTGTTTTCCACAGGAAACGAGGAAGTTGGCATGGTACTGCGAGGGCTGAGTTCCCTGCGGGTTTTCAGGGCGGTGAGGCTGGCAGGGCTGCTGGGAAGGAAGACCCATGGTCTGCATGCGCTCTACAAGCTCATATCTATGATGTCGCGCACCTTCAAGGAGTTGTTCTGGTCTTTCATCTTCTGCTTTGCTTTCATGACAGCTTGGGCAGTGCTCTTCGTGGAAGTCGCGCATCCAATGGTACTACGCTTACAGGCGAACCAGCGCCTGTTCGAAGATTGTCCCGAGTGTCTTCGGGCCTTCTCTTCTGTCATGGATGCCAACTTGAGTTTGTTCAAGACAGCAATCGTTGGAGACGCTTGGGGAGACCTGGCTGTGCCTCTCATTCAAGCCAATCCGGCCGTCGCGCTCCTCTTCGTGGGCTCGCAGCTGACATTGGTCTTCGGGGTGTTGAACGGCATCGTTGCAGTGGTGGTGGAGGCTTTCGCAGAGGCTCGCACCCACGATGTCTTGGTGATAGCTGATGAGATGGAGAAAGACTTTGAGAAAGATGCGGGGCTACTGTTGAGGAGGTTTACTGTGAATTACCGGCAGCAGGTAGGCCAGTTGTTTGATAGACACCCCATATTCCACAGCTTGAGCTGAATTCCCCGATACCAACCCAGGATACAAAGCTCCTGCAAAAGCTCTTTGCACGGCTGGACAAGGCCCGGAGAGATAGTTCTTCTTCAGTCCATTCTGTTTTTTTCTTTTACTCTTTCTCCCTCTCTCTCTCTCTCTCTTTCTCTTTTCTCTTTTTGTATTTTGTACTTTGTATTTTGTTTGCATTCTTCGCTTTCAGGCTTCCTATCAGCAAGGTTTATTGGTGCATGTCGTGATTTTATCTGAGCATGCCGTAGCTGTACCAGTATGATCGTTTAGCACCAGGAGCGTCAGTATTGCTACACTCAGAAACGATGAGTCGCCGCAGTGTGCGGTTTGGCCGATGATAAAGCTGCTGGTGCAAAAACAACCCTTACCTCCCTGTGAGAAATGCTCACGAAACACCTAGCCAGCTACATTCAGCACGACCACTAACCCTGAACCCTAAACCCAAGCCCCACATCGGCATGCTCTGAAACCCTAAATCCTTGAGGACAGCAACGGAAGGCTGACAATGGAAGAGCCTGTGATGCGGCGTAGCCTGAGGGTTTAGGGTTTGGGGTTCGCGGCCAAGGTTTTGGGGGTCTATGGATCCTGCATATGGTAGACACTGGAGCTTGAGATTTGTTTCATTAGCTCCCTAGTGAGCCTTTTATACCCCTACCTCTGTATACACCCTAGGTATTCCCTATGTTTTTGTTTTTTGTAAACATCTATAAGCCCAGGAGCTACGCCAGGGCATGAAGGGAGACTCGGAGTTCCAGAGCCTCCTTCGGGTGGATGTTTGTGAAGAACTTGGGCGCCGGGAGGGGGATCATGAAGGGATTCCCCTACATTCTGTGGGCTTTGACTATGGGTTTTATGAAGAATATGCGGCGCACTTCAAGGTCTCAAAAAGAAGACACATATCCCCACATCCTAAACCCAAGCCCTAAGCCCCAGGTGATGGACATGTGCGAGGCTGACCTGGAGCAGCTTTTTGAGATGTTTGATGTCGATGGCTCTGGGTCTATCGATGCGGCGGAGTTTGTTGGCCCCCTGCGCAACTGGGCACACGACTCTAAGACGGTACCGCGACTTCTGAAGGACAGGCTACTCAGAAAGCAACAGCAAGAGGTGGGATGATGGCACCCATAGTGGGTGGTGGTAGGACTTTTAATAACCTCGGTGCTAAGAGCGGCCCCGAAGGACAGCCTGCTCAGGGCCCTGGAGCAGCAGGAGGAGCTTTACGACTACACATCGAGGCAATTTGAGGCTTTGAAGGGGCAGATGGATATCCTCACAGCCGCCGTTGAACGTGAGTCAGGCTCGAGTTCAGAGCATCCCAAGAACTTAGAGGCCTTGTTATCAGCCGCCCAGGTGAGACGCCAGCATTTAGAGGCCAAGACGGAGGGAACTATCAACTCAGAAAGACCAGGGCCAGGAAAAGGTCTCAGGGCACTTGGGCAGAGGTTGGCTAAGAGAGGAAAGGTCACTTGTCAGCTCCAAGCCATGTATTTCAGCAATGTCTCGAGGGGGAGCGAGCCAAAGAGCAGTTTCCCAGCACAGGACGCGGCAGAGGATGAGGGGCACGGGTCCAATGATGACAGAGTTGCCCTGAGCTTCTAGGCGCCTTGGTGCCCTCGAGTTTTACCACGAAAGCACGTATGCATGTATGTCCATGTGTATGTTTGTGACCCTCATGGGTCAGGGTTTAGTTGGAGATGCCTTTTGAGACATCTTGAGACATTTCTCGACGCAAGCCGGCAAAGACAGAAAGGGAAGGTTGCAGGTCCCAAGATGATGGGTTTGTGCCCTGAAGCCCCAAAGCCCTTGCCATTAGATATTCCCACTGTGGTAGAACATTTTCTGATAATATATTGGGAACATGAAATGTTAGCGGGGTGGGGAGTCAAAGATTGGGGGGAGGGATTCATCCTGCGTTAAATTAATCCCTTCCCCTAAGAGTGAAGCCTGCCTCCTGCCTAGCAATGAATTTCCCAGGATCATATGGTGGTACTGTAGTGGAAGTGTGCTTTACTCGGGGGTTTGGGGTGGATGAGTGTAGCAATTCTGAAGCAAGCTGTCTGATGACATGAAGTCTACGCTTGCCAGAACATATGTTTTCGGCACATCCACTCTTGGCAAGAAGTGCGCCCGGAGTTACGCATGGTCTTTCGAATTGTGAACGCTCAATGCGCTCAATGCGTGTGTATGAGCCTTTTGGGCATAGCTGTAAGAGTTTGGAATGCTATGTTTGTCTTGGCACGCCGCTGTCAGAAAAACTTGGATTGAACAACTCTTGGCTTTTCCGATGTTTGGAATCTAGCGCTTGCCCGCCAATGCCTCCCCAGCATCTCTTCCGCGGTAGGGTTCAGGGTTTTGGGTTAAGTGGACCCCGCGCCCATCCTGCAAACTTGGGATACTGGAAGTACTGGAAAGCAAAATGGAAACTACTATTTAGGGATAGTGGAGAATAACATGGAAACTACTATAATGGGGTTACATAGTGTTTCGGGTTTAGGGTTATAATATGAGCCTCGGCGGCCTTGGATGTCAGGCCCGAGGAGCAGACACAGCCCTCGTGCACCCGTCCGAACTGTGAGCCCCACCCTCTAGGTAGGGAAATGCCCAAAAGAAAAGCGCGTGGAGCCCAAACAGCTTTTATAATCATGCTATAGATAACGCCCATCCTTCGTGAGTTACCTACTTATGGAGGGATCCAACATCACTTTAGATCTTCGGGATCCATTTCAGTAGCAATGCCATCTGAGAGTTCAGCAAATGTCCTGCAGAGTTCTGCTTGGAAGTATGGGTGCCGAAGATGGGCCCTTAGCCTTCTCAGGGGGATTCTAGTTGCCCTTTGGGGTGTACAGCATGTGCATATGTATATAAACATATATATGTTTATATTATCTACGTATAGTGTACACACGTACCTACGGGGGAAACACTAGGTAGAAATTGATCTCAGGTAAGCCTATACTAGGGCCCATGGTTTTGGTTTCAGCTTTGGGCGGACTTCTACGTTATCACTCCCAGCCCGCATAATGGAGAATCAAATGTAAAAAGCAATGGACACTTGGCTTGTGCAGGAGTTAGATGGGATCTATATCAGGTATCTGCAATGCTCCAAAAGCTTCACCCTGTACTTTATCCCGAGTGCCTGCCTGTTTAGAGAAGCCTGTATCTGGTTTCATGCTGGGGCTCGCTATACAGGTCCTGGGGCACATGTGGAGATGTAGCCTGTGAGAGGTCACTGCCTTCAAGAAGCAGATGAAGCTCATAGAGGCAGGGAGATACTGTTTCGCTTCGAGATCTACAGTGTGCAGGGCTTCCTTCACATGGGGATTTCCAGAACCTGGTTGTCCCGATGCAGATCCTATTTCACAATAGTCCGGATCAGAGTGGCTGCCCTATTATTTGGAGACCCATATCACGTAGTGTTCTACTATGGGTTGTTTGGCGACTGTGTAGAAAGAGTCTCTGCGGACCCTTGTTGAGTGTATATGCTGATTGTCCATTTGGGTGGGCCGCAAACTGCATGACATCGGTCCGTATGGTTTTAGATCAGGAGGGGTTGCTGGGAACAAGTGATCCCGCTTAGGGTTTGCAGTTATTCAGAAAAGTTTTCAGGAGGATCTCATTTGCCAGAGGCATACGTACTGCTTTGCATTGCTGGCAGTGCTGTTTCGTGGTTCCCAATCAAGGTGTCCACTCTTTGATGCCTTGTGTCTCCAATGTTCGAGGACCCCAGCATCAAATGCAGATCATGTTGGTTTTCACTAGCCCAGTGATTATGCCTTCTCTTCAGCATAATGGTTCAAGATTCAACAAGTAGACGTTCTCAACCTCTCTTCCCTTATACCTTTAGCTAGGAGGCGTCCTGTGGGGTGGAGAACTGACAGGGATTTTGATTAAGACCCACTGCAAAGGTAAGCACGACTAGCTAGACTCCAAGCCTCTACATACAGCAGGGTGTTGAAGCAGCCAGAATGATGATCAAACTTGAAGAAGAGTATTCTACGCTGTCATCTCCGTCATAATTATCATCATCATCATCATCGTCGTCGTCGTCGTCGTCGTCGTTCTCGCCATTGTCGGGTCCCTCCCCCTCCAAACCACCACCGCCATGCTGCAGCCACGGCCGCCACCAGCAGCATCACCACAGTCAGCATTGTCGTCGTCGTCATCATCATCATCATCGTCATCATCATCCGAATTAAGTGCAGCCAGCAGTGCATCTCTATGAGGTGCTGAAGAGGCAGCGAGCTCACATGGAAGCTGCGCGCGTCCTGTCTTTCACGGAGGACCTGCGACTTGGGGTGGACATGTACCGATTTGAGTTGCAGGTCTTAAGCTTGAGGGCTTCAGTTGCCGACTGTTGGATTTTCATTCTAGGCGTCAACTGACTAAGGCTCGAGCAAGCATGGTAGATTTCAGCCGATTGTAACCCAGGTTTGCGGTTCACACCCTCAAACTGGGTTCGGGTCCAGCTTGATGTCCTCTGAAGTTTAGGGATGTTATCCAACAATGGAGAACCAAATGGACAGTCACATGGAAAAGCAAACGGAATCTGGGGTTATAGAGGGGTTGTACAAGGACTGTAGGGCCAAGGAATATATGACCTCAACGATGCAGAATCAAGTGGAAAAGAACATCGCAGATGAAATGACCTGGGTTTTTACGGGGGCTTAGGTCTGGGGATTGGTACCGGTAACCCCAAGTTGAGCTCCGCAGCTGAACAAATGTGCTTTGCTTCCAGCAAGTTCTTTCAAGTACCCGTCAACCGCTTTAACTTTAACAGGAACCCCAAATTCATCAGTGCCCAAAGACCGGTCTCATCAGTGGCATGATTTACCAGCAACAGTTCTCTTCATGATAGCGACAAAGCCGCAAGAGTAATGGTGGGCATAGCTCCTGGGACTTGTCTCAAGCATTCTCGGAGAATCTGGCTTCACTCTATGCCCCTTTTACCCTCCAAACTGCAGGAGCCCACACAAAAACAGGGTCATTGAAATTGGACTCCGACCCTTAAAGCCTGAGCCTTAACCCGTAAAACCCGAAATCTTGCCCATAAAACCTAAGCCCAAAGCAGCAGGATGAGTTCATCCGAATTCTAGAGCTTGGGGACAAGCTGGGAGAGTGAACGTGACATGGGACGTTCTCAATTTACGTTTTTGAGGGAATCTCAGGGGTTGACCGGGCTTTTTTGGTAGTTGAGTGTATTGTATGTGTGGCAGAAAGAACCCCTTGCTTGTGCAGCTTAATTGCTGCTTCTCCGTATCATGGGTCGGTTCCTGGAAATTCTCCAGGGTTCAGACCTTCAACTCTAAACCGCAATTGGTCGCTTTTTGTGGTTTAGGGCTGGATAAGGTTCAGGTTGCCGAGTTTCTGAAAATTATTGGTCCCTTCAGGCACTTAATTATGGCAACGATGTGTAGAAATTGAAGAGCCTTCTAAAGACTGGATATACTAGCATGATGGAGATTGTATAACAACACTTTCTCCATGCCATGCGTCCAGTTTTGGGTGTCTGATTCGTAGTACGCACGTGATGCATGGAAGATGTGAAAACTTTCGTGCTGGGTCGTTTTTGAGCAATACATAATCTGGTGTATACATGAAACCAACATAGAGCAAGCAAGCCTATGTTACCTCGGCACTATCCCAACAGCAACATCATCAACTACATGGGGTTTGCTTTGGGGTGCTTTGCTTTGGAAGCACTCTCTTGTGCGCATAGCCACGCTGTACAGTGGAGTGGCTAACAGCTGCGCGGCGCCCGCGCACCTGTCAGCTTGAATTCAGGCATGGCGAGATCTTGCTGGATAGGGGGATCTAGGGTTATTGGAAAATAGAATCGAAGCTTCTGTTTAGGGTTCAACGTTAGGGGTAGATTCTGTGGTTTTCTTTCACCCAGAAAAATGTCAGGCTTGACACTCTTAGTAGTTGTGTAGATGTGGTTGACACCAGTTGCAGCAACCAATGGGCTCCTCAAAAGGGCGGCCTGGGAGATTTTAGTTGCCCTGGATCTGCAACATCTTCCCTGACTACTTTCTTTGTGGTCTGGCAGCAGCCCGCCATAATGCTAGCTTTCTGGCGCCAGGCCGCAGAAGAGACTTGAAGTTTTGAGACCCCTTCCCCGACAGGATGCTTGTGACACCTAACTTTCCTGCCATATTCAGGCACTCCAATGTATGCTTCCCCTCCAGAATGTCAACAGGGGATGCCCCAACCAGGCCTTTGGATATGGAAAAGGCTTTCGGGCTCAGGGTTTGGGGTGATGGACCCTTTCCAGCTGCAAGACGTGGAAGACTTGGCCATAGGGCCTTCAGCAGAAAATGCTTGTCATCAGAACACCGCTTGTAGTGGCTTTCTGCTTTTGGAAGCTCTTGGTGCTAGACCCTAAACCTTCATTTGCGGCCGGAAGCCCTAGAACATAGGGTTACAAACGGGTTATATACAGGGATTAGGGCTATATAGTGTTTAGGCACATTCCCTCAAAAAGGAGAATCACATGGAATAGAACTGGAAAATGACATGGATGGAAGTGGGGTAAATGGTTTCACAGAAGTTATGTAATATAAGGGCTCGAGCCATTACCTAAGCGCCTTCCTTTGCACACT